TGGAATAAACACAGAAAACAAAATCAAAAAAGCTAGTACAACTTTCTGGCAATGCAGAAACATGAGTGGCAAAAGATGGGAACTGACGCCAAAAATCATACTGTGGCTGTACAAAACTGTAATCCGGCCCATGATCACATATGGCGCTCAGGTATGGTGGACCAAGACAAACGAAGCCACCACTATAAAGAAGCTTCAGCGCTACCAGAGACTGGCTTGTATGGCTGCCACAGGCTGCATAAGGACTACGCCAACAGCAGCCTTAGAAGCGATGCTAGAGCTAACCCCGCTTCATCTACATATACAACAAGAAGCGACTTTAGCTGCCATCAGACTCAAGACCCTAAATCTTAGGAATAGTGTCCCTCATACAGGCATAATTGATAGAATTCACTCAAAAATTCCTATCTTACAAGCCAAGTACGATAAGATTCCAAAACAATTTGTTTTCGATAAGAAATATAGGATACAATTCAATGAAACCAGCCAACCGGAAAGATTAAGCCCAAAAGAGCTTAGAGTTTTCACCAATCGTTCTAAAACAAATGAAGGTGTAGGTTCTGAAACTTTCTCTGAAGACCTCAATATCCACATATTCACACCGCTGGGCACCCATAACACAGTCTTTCAGGCAGTATGTATGGGTATCATTCAAGCGGCCATAGCAATAGATGCTAGGAAGGTTAATGAGTTCCTCATCAGAATACTAACCGACAGTAGAGCGGTACTACAAGCTCTGGGTTGCAATGTGGTGAACTCGGGACTAATATATGAATGCCATCAACGATTAAATGAGGTATGTAAAAACAACAATGTGACTCTGCAATGGATAAAGGGACACAGTGGATCCAGAGGCAACGATGCAGCAGACGAACTGGCCAGAAGAGGATCGGCTCTGGCCACTATAGGGCCGGAACCAATCATACCAATCCCCTTTGGTAATGTTCGTTCACTGGTACGTAGACACTTCACTAATCTACACGCTCAGCTTTGGAAAAACCTAGTAGACTGTAGACAAGCTAAGGAGGCCCTGCCTGAAATAAACAGTCGTTTAACCAAAGTTCTAATGAGACTGAACAAGCCGCAGATCAGGATAGTATCAAGTGCTATCACAGGACACGGCTACTTTAACAAGCATTTATTTACTATAGGTGTTACAGATAGTCCCCTGTGCAGGGCATGTATGGGGGAAAAAGAAACGGCGATCCATGTGCTATTGAAATGTCCGGAGGTCGCTACGTACAGGGCTATATATCTCGGCACGCCGAGATCACTCCCCGAAGTTACATGCAACATCAAAGGACTATTGAGCTTCTTCGGGGAGATCTCATGGCTCGAATAAGTATATTATTCCTGTCCACACGCAAAATACGCGCATAGACGTGGAGTTGCGGAAAACAGCCCGTCGTAAAGTAACTAAACTAACTAACTAACTTCGTCTCACAGCTGATCGCGAACGGCATGTACTATTCCGTGAGTCCGAAACCTTTACTGAGAGGGAATTACGTCTCACAGCTGACCGCAAACGACATACATTATCCCGCGATTCCGAAATCTACACTGAGAGGGAATAACGTATCACAGCTGATCGCGAACGTTATATTTTATCTCGAGAATCTGAAACTTTTACACAAAGTGAAGATCGTTTGACAAACGATAGGGTGCACCATAATATTATTCGATCTCTTGAAGATAAACGTGAGCATGAACAACGACTAGAGTCGGGACGCGAATATTACAACTCTTTGAGACAAGAACGATTAATAAGTTTGTCTAATAAAAGATTAAGAATAGAAAATATTCGGTCTCTTGAAACTGACGAACAGCGAGAGGCCCGTCTTACTGCAGACAGATTTCGACATAGTCTTAATGACTTAGATGTACACATAGAAGATCAATCTACAAATTCGGTGGCGTGGTCCGACAAATATAAAAGTGGGTTTGCTTAAAACCTCACAATTGATTACAGATCATCTTCTGTAATAGGCGATATGAACGTAGTATGTTCTTTTTGTAATGCTTCAAAGTGGAGTAAGGAGTCGGCTGGTTTCTGTTGTTCTGGAGGTAAAATACATTTGCCTTCGTTCGGAGATCCACCGGAACCTTTGAAGTCACTACTTTTAGGGGAACATGTGCAATCTAAACAGTTCTTAGACAATATTCGCACTTATAATAGTGCGTTTCAAATCAACCCAACAAATCTCAGAAGGTCCTTTCATGCCTACTTTTAAGATACAAGGTCAGGTTTACCATTTGATAGGATCCCTTTTGCCTGAAGACCAACCTAAGTTTCTTCAAATATATTTTGTATCCGACTACAACGAACAGTCGAATATAAGAAATCAATATTTCCCGAATTTAAATACTGAACTTATTTCACAACTTCAGAACATGTTGCATTAGGTTAATTCGTATGTATGCAGTTTTAAATCGGCATTAGAAGCTCTTCCTCAAGATGGTGATAACAATTATAAAATTGTTATAAATGGCGATAGGCGTCCAACTCAGGAACACCCTGGGCGTTATAACGTTTCATCCACTAATGAAGTTGCTGTAGTATTGATCGACCAGGAATGTGGTAGGCGTGATATCGTTATCCATTCCAGAGACAATCGTTTGCAACGTATTTACAAAACCCACAGGGCTTACGAGAGTTTGTAATATCCTTTGATATACTCTCGAGGGGAAGATGGTTATAATTTCGCTTTATACCAAACTGATCCGCATACAGACGCACCTAATTATAATAAAAAGATGTCATGCTTTCAATTTTATTGTTACCACTTGCAAGTGAGACGGAATAGATTTGTATACTTTCAACGTTTTCGTGGCTTATTCAATCAGTTTATTGTTGACATGTACGCAAAAATTGAAACCGAAAGATTAGTTTATATACGATCTAATGAAAGTCAGCTGCGCGCTGAAGAATACGTGCACCTTCGCGACGCCATGCAGCAAGATAATGATACGGTGAATATGGGCCGTTTAGTTATTTTAGCCTCTTTTTTTACTGCTGGTCTACGCTACATGCACGAACGTACTCAAGATGCTTTTTGTTACGTAAGGAAATATGGACGTCCCGACTAATTTATTACTATAACTACCAATCCCAAGTGGGATGAAATCACTCGGGAGCTTATTAAGGGTCAAGCACCGCATGACCGCCATGATATTATCGCAAGAGTTTTTCATTTAAAATTAAAATCAATGATAGATCTACTTACCAAAGATAACATTTTTGGAGATGTATTGTGTTATATGTATAGTGTTGAGTGGCAAAAACGCGGCTTACCTCACGCACATATCCTGCTTTGGTTAAAAGATAAGATTCAACCTAATGATTTAGACAGTTCAATCAGTGCTGAAATTCCAGATCCGATTGCAGATCCCGTGTTATACGACATTGTTAAAACTCATATGATACATGGTCCATGTGGTGCATTTAACGGGAATGCTCCTTGCATGCAAGACGGTCGTTGCACTAAAAGATTTCCAAAAGCATTAGTGGATGAAACTGTAACAGGACATGATGGATACCCATTATATCGTCGCCGTTCAAGAGACAATGGTGGTTTTACTGTTGAAAAGCGAGTGTCTGGACAACAGGTTACTTTAGATAATAGGTGGGTCGTTCCGTATTCCTCTGTGATGTCTAGAGCATTTCAAGCTCACATAAATGTTGAAATGTGTAATAGTGTAGAGTCAATAAAATATATTTGTAAGTATATTAACAAGAGCAGTGACCAAGCTACATTTGCGTTGAGAAAAGAAACATGATGAAGTTACTAGATTTCAGTCAGGCAGATATATTAGCTCTTCAGAAGCTGTGTGGCGGATCTTAAGTTTCAACATTCACGAAAGATATCCACCTGTGACTCATCTAGATGTTCATCTTGAAGGCGGTCAACGTATATATTTCAACGCCTAAAATGTTACAGAACGATTAGAGAACCCTAGACAAACAACTTTGTTAGCATTCTTTCGACTTTGCCAAACTGATGATTTTGCAAAATCTCTTTTGTATGAGGAAGTTCCATCGTATTATACCTACGATAAGCAACGAGGTGTCTTTAATCGTAGACGCCGTGGCAGGCCTGTAGATGGCGAGTCAGGTATTTTCAAAGAACATGTTATTGGTAGAGTGTATACCGTTCATCCTAACAACGCTGAGTGTTTTTATTTGCGATTATTATTACATACAGTGCGAGGACCAACATCATTTATAGATTTGAGAAAAGTAGACGATGCTGATTATCCAACTTATCATGCAGCTTGCCAAGCGCGTCGTTTGCTTGAAAATGATCAGCATTGGGATGACGCTTTAGCAGAATCCTGTTAGTGATAATCCACGACGGTTACGCCATTTATTTGTAACATTACTCACATTTTGTAATTTGTCAGATGCTGTACAATTATGGGAAAAATATAAAGAAAAATTAGCAGAAGACTTTCTTCGGAATATATCTCACAATGATGAAGGCGCAACTAATGATAATTTTCGTGATGTTGCCATAAATCTGTGCTTATTAGCTCTTCAGGAAGACTTAACAGCAGTAGGTGGTAAATCACTCTGTGAATATGGTTTGCCAACACCAAACTCAGTCGGAGAGGTTACCAATAGGGAATATTCTGCAGAGATTGGTTACAACTCAATGGAACTGCTGGCAACATTAGAAAACGGTGTCCCAATGATAAATGCAGAACAACGTTCAGTCTATGATCGCGTGTGCGAGAGTGTTCAGAATAATTTGGGAACAATATGGTTTTTAGATGCACCTGGAGGAAGTGGGAAAACCTTCTTGACAAATTTTTTGAAAAATTGCTCTTGCCGTGGCTTCATCAGGTAAAGCTGCAACATTACTACCAGGAGGTAAAACTGCTCACACTATGTTTAAAATACCAATTGATTTAGATCGCACGGAAAGTCCAACCTGTAGTATTTCAAGAAATAGCGACAAAGCTAAGGTGAGTGTAATTTAATCATATGGGATGAATGTACGATGGCCCACCGAAAAGGAGTAGAAGCGGTAGACAGAACTTTAAGGGATATAAGACAAAATGATCGACCAATGGGCGGTATCACGGTTTTATTTTGTGGTGATTTCCGACAAACCTTACCGGCAATACCACGGGGAACCCGAGCTGATGAGGTTAGGGCTTGCCTAAAAAGCTCTTATTTGTGGCGTGATATACAATCGGTACATTTGACTATAAACATGCGAGTGAGAACTGGAGATAACCCGGATGATCGTCAATTTTCTGATAAATTATTAAAGATTGGGGAAGGTACCTATCCACAACTACACCAAGGAAAACTTCTTCTGACGCCTCAGATATGTTGTATAGTGCAATCCCAACCACATCTTATATCGTCGGCTTACGGTGACGTAACAATTATATTAAATAGGGACAATTTTTGGCTATGCGAAAGATCCATTTTAACTCCTCGCAATGACCAGGCATCTGAGATTAATAACAAAATACTGTCGAATATACAGGGAGAAAGCAAAGTTTATAGTTCAATAAATAGAATGTTCGATGAACAAGAAGCCACTAATTACCCGATAGAATTTTTAAATTCTTTAAATATGCCCGGACTTCCTTCTCATGAAATTTGTTTAAAAATTGGCATTCCGATTATTCTGCTCCGAAATTTAAGACCCCCACAACTTTGCAATGGAACTCGGCTAAAAGTAACCCAGTTGCAACAAAATATAATCGAGGCTCAAATTTTAACAGGTTGCGGTTCAGGAGAAACCGTCTTTATTCCCAGAATTCCCATAATATCAAATAATTTTCCATTCCAATTTAAAAGAACGCAATTCCCAGTATCATTGTGTTATGCAATGACAATTAATAAGGCTCAAGGGCAGACTTTTCGTGTTGCTGGAGTAGATCTCGGTGTCAGTTGTTTCTCGCATGGTCAGTTGTACGTCGCTTTTTCCCGGGTTAGCAGTTCTAGAACTGCTTACTACTTTCAACATAGTTAACCCGGAAGCTTTGCGCTGAAGTATTTTTGTTCTATACCTACTTAAGCCTCATGTGAACATGATCTAAACAATATTACCAATATATTAACTTAATAACACACAAGGAGTTACACTCCATCCAAAGCTCAGCGACACTATAACATATATAGGAATGACCTCTTAGCAAAAGTTGTTTATTCTGATGGGCACTTCCTGTTGACTTACAAAAATGAAAGATCTAGAACGTCTCGAATTGACAATCCCGTTGTCGCTGGCATAAGCAACAGGATCAGTGTACGAAGTCGCGGGCAGAAGCTAGTCAGTAATAAGATAACGTAACGCACTATACATTGAGTATAGTGAAATTACAGTTCGACCGCAACGTAACACGTCCCCGCCACGATAACACATCAGTGTAACGTGAGATACGTAATTACATGATAATATCAAATTATGCAAACCGACAACAACACTACTTATCTCAATGTAACAGGGCAGCCTCTCAGCAACACCAATCCGCCTTGCTTGCACTAGAAGAATTACAACAACGAACAGAACCACGACACTGTCTTAGCACTAGTAGAATGACTACACTTATAGAATGACTTAAGCAGAATCTCTCTCCCACGGCGCCTATAGTTAACTTTATACTACACAAACAAGTGCGGGTTTATCGATATACCCTCATTTCCACCTCGATCTAACCGATATGTTATAGATGCTCCGACACGGACATCCTGACGTACGACCGTCCTCGGGCGTGTATCTTCATGCGTTCCTGTAACAAATAGTATAAGTCACCAATTCGTCCGATCGTTCACCCTGACATGAGTTGGTACACTATCTTTGGACATTTAGGGACTCGCACATATACGCAAGTAGATTAAGTTTCACCTCATGTAAACTAACACTAGCTAAGGCGTCCTATCGACCAGCCATCATCTCCTATGATGATTTGGACCTACACAACCTAGCCCTCAAATATTCATCATCTCATATCACAACGTGGACTGTACAAAACTGTCACTGAATACAAACTAAAGTAAACAAACGAAAGTTATCGATGGCTTCCCGACGCGGCGCTAGTACGCTCACGCTTCGACATGGCCATCTTGACATTTTACACATCCTCCTATGGGGAAGTACTTAGTAAGAGCAAAGGGATCACCACAGTAAAAGTGCATCCGCTTGGTCAACCTGACCACAAATAAGCTAACTGTAATGTTCAAACTCTACAAGCAGTTACATTTAAACGTACCCAAAAACATCAAAGGTACAATGGAGTAGAAAATTAAATTCACACAAAGTAAATAACCTTGTCGAACAAAACTTTAGAAACAGTAAACTGCCAGAGGCTCTAGCAAACCTGCGTTCGGTGTCTGATAGACCAGAAGACCGCGTCCATCCAGCGTCCGATTGATCTCAAGACAACCTCTAACCGGCGCCTGATGACTACAGACAACCACCAACCGGCGCCTGACAGCTCAAGATAACCTCCAACCGGTATCTGATAGCTAAAGATAACATCCAACCGGTATCTGATAGCTCAATGTAAAGTTGGTACTGGTGGTATGCTTACAAGACAGCCGACCTTCATAAACCTCTATCCGGTGCCTGATGACTACAGACAACCTCCAACCGGCCAAAAAAAATTGCCGATTACCACAAAGGTGTTGATCTTTGTGGAAAAAAAACCGGTATCTAATGGCTCAAGATAACTTCCAACCAGTATCTGATAGCTCAAGATAACCTCCAACCGGTATCCGATAGCTAGCACAGTCATGACATTGCGAGTCAAAAGCGAACGAAACAAAAGGCAATACTGTTCGGCAGTTACTAAAACATTTTACTGGTCAGAATCAATGTCATAGACACAAGTACTGCCAGGAATCTGGCGCAACCTACCATGTGCGTACTTGTACGTTCGGTTAGAACTTACGGTTCTCAGAACGTAACGATCACCTTCCAGGACTTCCGCAACTTTAAATAGACACTTGTATTTTGGGTCAAGCTTAGTTTGATAACGTTCTTCGTTCTGCAAGAGAACATAATATCCAACACAGAATCGCCTTGGTGCTGTTGAATCGGGCTTTGTCTTCAGCAGAGGCTCGCGTTCCATGTTTCCTACTGCTTCAGCTCAGACATTGTCGATATCGACCTCTGGTTCCTCACCATCAGCAAACATTATCTCTATAGGTCTAAAAACTTTACCTATGAGCAACTCCAGTCAACTCACCATAAAAACGCCGTTCTGGGTGCAGTTAAGCGCGAGCTGCAAATCTAGTTGAGTGTCTTGCCATGAACGGTTGCTGGTATCTGCGGTGGTAATCATGTTCTTCAGGATTCCCACTCAACCAGGCCAATAGCTCGTGAGCTAACTGTCACAATTAAATGGAGCTTTATATTTACCAACTCCCAGTACTCTTTGCTTGCGAAGCATCGTCCTTGGTCCTCGATTTGGTGCGCCGAAGAGCAAAATGTAGTCTTTCAGTGCCTTGATGCTGCTAGAGAAGTCAATGTGCAAGGTATGGCGAAGTAACACGTACTTCGTGAGTGCATTGATGATGATGAAGATCTATTCCTCCTTGTCATTCTTACCGTTGAATTTCCCGGTCGCGTCAATATGCAACGTGTGCCATGGGATCGCTAACTTCAGAAAAGGATGTTTATGTGTAATGCAGAAAAATTTAAGAAAGCGATTAATGTTTATGCTGACTTGCCGTGTTCAATATTCGAAAAAAGTTTGTACCCTCAGCAACGTACGATATTGCAAACTACATATTTAGACTCTATTTTCCCTAATGAATTGGTAGCTTTAGGTAATATTATTACTTGTTCACGATGCTCAAATAATATTAAAAAACCAACACTCCACCGTAGGCCTATTGGAATAAAATGTCGGTAGCTGTAATGCCTACAGAAATCGATGACTTATCGGAAATTGAGAAACGTTTTATTTGCAGAGTAGGTAGTGCCATTTCTTAAAATAATAAAAGTTCAAAATCGTTTGAGCCAAGACTGGTGCAAAGGGCAGGCAATTATTTTTGTTTAGGATGTGGTCGAACTGGCGGAGCAACTTCCGCTTGAACCTAATCAAACTGGATTAGTGATTGTAGTAGAAAGTCGTGAAAATTTAGAACGTTCTAGGGAGTTTCAAATAGATGTATGTAAACTTCAATTAGCATTGCAGTGGCTCCTAATAAATAATGCACTCTATAAAGAGGGCCTATGCACTATGCTCAATGACCTCAATAGTGTTTCCCAACGGATAGGTCTTAAGATGAACATGGACAAAACAAAGATCATGTTTAATGTCCATGTCACACCTATGCCGGTAGTTGTTGGGAGCACTAAGCTCGAAGTTGTTGACGAGTATGTTTACCTGGGACAAATAGTTCGACTAGGTAAGTCCAACTTCGACCGAGAGGTCAATCGACGGATTCAACTCGGCTGGGCAGCGTTCGGGAAGCTACGACACATCTTCTCGTCAGACATACCTCAAAACCTGAAAACGAAATTGTACAACCAGTGCGTGTTGCCAGTGATGACTTACGGAACTAAGACGTGGTCCTTCACTGCTGGCCGTATGAGGAAGCTCAAGGTCGCTCAGCGAGCTATTGTATTAAAAAAAAGGTTAAATGTACATATTAAAAATATACTTTCTTGAAATATCTTCGAGTCATAGGAATGAAAGCAAATTTTAAATTTGTTCAGAACGCTAATAGGAATTCCAAAAGGTTTTGTTACATTATTTGTGTTTTTAAACTATAAATACCTATTCTGCTATTACGTCTTGCATTCATTTTACACGATATTATCTGAAGTTGATTTAATTTTCCCGTTTCAATGCATTGATTAGAACAAGAAGTGTTTTGTTTTTATCAATGTCTCAATGGGGCTGTGTGATAATTTGAACAACAGATAACATGAATTCTCCATTTAATTTATTCCATTTATTCATATAGCCTATTTAAAGTCACTGCTGAACATACATTTCTTACGTGGTAGAGCCATTCTGCAGCTATATTAGTAGTTTAGTAGTAGTAGTAGTAGCACGAATGGGTCGGCTCCACCAGGGTAGAACCACGCTCTCACAGAATACCGGCGCAAAATAGCAACTATAATGCTGCTGTGTTTCGTATGGTGTGTGTAGAGAACCGGAGACCCTTTTTATTGGAAACATGGCATTCCATCTTAGTCCTCAAGGATAACAATGCATCTGCATTTTGATTCTCAATCGAGGATAGATGTAGATGTCTATAGGCCACAGCATCCACTTACCATCAGATGGACTGTGTGCTCGTTTCTCACCCTTATTATATAAAAAAATTAAGCTCGGAGAGGCTAAAAAGGTTATCGAGTAGATGTACCAGTAGGCATGTGGTGGTTTCTCTCTAGATATACTTAGTTATGACTTGGTAAGAGATGCAGAAAGGCAATGGGTGCAAGTGACTCAGGACCGTGATTTGTGGCGTTTCTTGGGGGAGGCCTATGTTCAGCAGCGGACTTTTGAAGGGCTGTAATAATAGTGAGAATGTTGATGGTGACGCCGAACGCTAGCATCTTTTAATATGCCACTGAGAACAATACATTTTTTTAAATTTATATTATATTTAAAGTTTGTTTAGGTGTTTAATGTTTTAAATTAAAACTTTAAAATAGTTAAAGAAATTTGAAACACGTGTAATTAAAATTTTATACTGCTTCTTGTTCACAAAAAGCTATTTACTCCCTCGTTAGTTCTCTTGTATGAAGTAAAGTATCAACTTAAATCATTTAAGTAGGTCAAATGTTGCGTCTGTTCTATATACTGTAGCTACTCGTATTTTGAAAAATATTATCATTTTGATATTTTTTATGTACACATAAAGAAATTGTGTCTGTTTGTAATATCAAAACAACAGTTTAACTAATTGCTTATGAAAATATATACGGTACATATAACAACACAATTTTTAAAATGTTTGCCTGTCTGTCTGTCTGTCTGTTACGGCTAACCGAAATGGCTGGCTTTCACTGGC